CAGAGATTTAGTCATTTAGGGATTCAAGGGCGACTGTGATAAGGCAGAAAAGTGGAGTTGAGGATTAGCCATGATCTCATTGAAAGATGTAATTAACTTGATGGGCCAAAGGGCTTCCATCTGTCCCAATGACTTATCTGTCATTTGAAACATGCGAGACAATTGTAAAGGAAGAAATAAAGGTCGTTTATAAAAGGTTATTGCAGTCAATCACAGTCAACATCGTTTGTTGAAAGGCAAATCACACTTGATAATTTTGCCAGACTTCTTTGGTAATATTACAAGCACAGTTGATAAAAGCAAACGGCAGATGAAGTGCATTTGAATTTTTAACAGGCACTCAATAAGGAGCCATATCTCAGGTCATTGCACAAGGTAGGGGTTTACGCTGTTAGGTATAAATGAGCATGGGCTGCCCATTGTTTAATTAACATAGAATACAGAATCGGGATTAATGGGTATTTTTCAAGTTGGAAAGATATGATTTGTGGAGTGTCAGAATGATCAGTCATAGGGCTACAATTATTTATCTCTGTATTAATGACTTGGAGGAAGTGCCAGAGTGTAATGTGTTCAGTTTTGCAGAAGATACGAAATAGGCGGAGGGCATGTTGTGATGCGGACATGTCAATCTGCAAAGGGATATAGATAGGTTGAGTGAGTGGACAAAAACTTGGCTCATGCAGTTTCATGTCGGCAGTGTGAGTTCTTGTACTTTGGTAGGAAGAGTCAAAAGGTAGACTACTATTAAAATCGAGAGAAATTTCCAAAAAGAAAAAGGGAACAAAGGAACCTGAGTGTTCTTGAGCATGAAGCAAACAAAGGTGAATGACATATTTATTTTTTCTGGCAAAAAATGGTCTCCTTTCCTAAAGTTCACAATGAAAGAAACTATGCACGTGTAAATTAATCGAAGGCCAGGATATGTCCAGTGTTGCTCTATGGGACATATTTGATATATTGTTTATGGTTTTGTAAACGTTATTTGCAATGGAGCTGGGAGTGGGAGACGGGGAAATTAAGGTCATCCATGATTCCTTTATCTGTCACACACAATATCTGATTTTTATACGTTTGTTTCCATGTTGTGGTTACTGTTAGTAGGCTTTTGGACTGCATCCACTGGGGACTTCTTTTCCTCACTGTTCCTCATCTCTACGTAAACAGATTCTACATGCTTATCTCCTGAATCAAGGTAATCTCTAACCATTGTACAAATGTCACCACAACCTGGGCATTTCACACGCCTCTGTATGCCTTCTTGCAATATTAATTGATCCTCTACTGTGTTACTATTGCATATATTAAGAGAAAATAAAAGGGAAAACAAACACTGCCGTGATTCGGAATCGAGTCGAAGCTGCTGTGGCGAGAGGCAGAGTATTGGCCATTATACGACCATGGCGCTCAACAACGAGGCACCAGGAAACGTCCAAAAAGCACACTGCTGGAGGGCATGCCAGGAGCAGCACCAGAAACACAACAGAAATACTCATCAAGTAGCATACTGAAATGAGTGGACAAAATCTATCGAATTCAGGGACATGGAGGATGTCAATGTCCAGCATTCAGAGTATACAAAACTGAGGTTGATAGATTTCGATAGATTAAACATATTAAGAAATTATGGGATAGTGCAGAAAAATGTCAGTGAAGCAGGAGTTCATACATAATTTCATTGATCAGCGAAGCAGGTTCAATGGGCTGAGCGGCTGCATCATATTTGTTATGCTTCAAAATAAAAACATTACTTTCTTATATTCACTTGGCAAATGTAATTAATATTCGGGTGGAAATTAAGTAATTGTTCTGGGCTGCAGTCTTGTATACATTTCTCAATTGGAAATCGAGTTTTACATCGGCTGCATCAGCAGTTTCCTCACACAAGGAAGTAACCACGGCTGCAGAAGATCATTTAACCCCAGTTCCCAGCCCTGGAATCAGAGAAATTCAGTGCCCTGACATTCTATATATGCAGGGTCAATCGGATTCTAATCTTAAATCCCTATTCCGGTCAATCCCTGAAAAACTTGATAACCTTTGCTTCGCACAATATCTCTCTATGTGCCTTAAATATATTCAAGAACTCTGCAGGTTGCAGCGGAGATTTACAAGAATGTTGCCAGGACTGGATAAGATGAAACTTTGCAGAATGTTTGGTTTGGCTGGGACTGTTCTCCTGGGAACATAGGAGGCCGACTGGAGTTTATAATCATATAACAGCATTTATTAACATTCAATATTCTTAGGGGCCTTGACGCCGCAGATATGGACGAATGGTTTCCCTGAGTACGAGAGAGAAGGACTATAGGACGTCATATCCGAATAAGGTTTAGTCCATTTAATTCGGATATGAGGAGGAATTTCTTCGCTCAGGGGCGAGTGAACTTGTGGAATTCTTTCCCGCAGACGGTTGTTGAGGCTGGATTTTGGGTATTATCAAACTGAGCGAGACAGACGTCTAATCAGTAAGATGGTCAAGAGTTACCCAGGTCAGGCAGCAGAATGGAGTTGAAGATTATCATTGAAAGATGCAGCAGACTCGTTGGGTCGAATATTTTTGCTCCGAATTTATTCCGACTGCTCCTCCATCATTTTGTCCATGGTCTTATTTTATCGATAGGTCCAATATTGTTTGCGGGGTGGACTTGGATAAAATTATAGTCTTAGTTTCACGCTGTCACGCCTTGTAGCTAATCAAGGCCCTTTCACTCCGTTCCCTCTGCATTTGTTTTCCACCGATAACATTTTGGATTCTTCCAAACTGAACGTAAAGTCATTCTAAGTAAGACTGACTGCCAGCACCACCCCACAAACACTCAACGGCCTGGTTTATCTTTGTTAAGAAGCCCTGTCCACTGTGACTACTCACACAACAGCAACATGGAGTCATTCTCTGTCTGAATTTTAAACCAAGGTTACAGTGGAGAAAGCTCCTTCCGAACGATGAGAACATTAAAGAAGCTACAACTTAACAGTGAAAGTTGGTTCATCAGCATTTCTTCTGCCGTGTTCCTTATTCCTTCCGTCAGTGAATTAAATGTGCCTCTCAGTCTGTCACATACTCTCACTTCTGTTGTTTTTACAGAGTTGTGCCTTTACACTTAGAAAATGCTGGGAATATTCACAATCCTGTCCCTCCCCACCAGCGAATAAGCATTTTTTTGATCAAAATAAAACATGTCACGCAGGAAGAAAAATCTTCAGCCTCTTGGAAAACCTTCAGGTGGAGTCCTCTCAGTTCTCTGCTGTAATCTTAGCAAAAAGCTCATTCTCGCTTGGATTCTGTTCGTCACAGAGAGTTCGGGGAGATGGTGAAGATCCGATGCATCTTCAGTGCGTCCTATTTCTTGAATTTCAAAATTAGGCGATTTTCAGGTTCCTGACTTTAGACTCATTGTTCTGTTGTCCTGGCAATACATCCACATGATATATATTTCCTGGAGATTTTGCCTGTAACTCACACAACAATCAGGAAGCGGACAGCACCAACCAGCATTGGAACTGAACTCATTGGCTGCCATTGGATTTTACCGATACAGTCTGTAAAATTCAGCCTCACCGTTAATGTGAAGAGGGGCTGTGGGACTGCAGTTTCCTCTCCTGCTGTTCAATAAGGATCATTCCAACTGTAAAAGGAATTGTTGTTGATTGGAAACATGTCTTCCTGAACTCACTGCCATCTGCTTCAACAAGAGGAGCTGAAAACTCCTTATAGATTGAAATGTAAAGTTGCGTGTTCACAAATTAGGTGAGAAAATATCTCTATACTGTTCGCAGCACGGCATTGTTAGTACCTGAATGAAGCGGTTGCCCAGAGGGAGGCGGTTGTGCGTTCAAACTCCACGATGAACACTTTGTGTTTGGGTAAACAACATCCCTGCAGCAGTGTGCCCAACATAAAACTGACAGGAAAGTACCATGCGCAATTGAACAGCCACTGAATAGGAGGAACACTATCAAGCAACAAGCTCTGCTTTGTTATAAAGCAGAAGCGTTTTACTGAGCCGAACCTGGTTTGAGCACGCAACTTTCGGATGGGGAATCAGACGCGCTACAAGCCCGCAGCTGACAGCGCCACTACTGTGCAGAATTAAATGAAGTGATCATACCCAAATGAGAAATTATTACGAAAAACGGAGGTGGAAAGGTCGCGCACTTTCTGCATCTTTTCTCCCCGCTCTCTCCGCGTGGCTCCAATCGTCTTTGTTCACTCTCCACCCGTTTGTCTGTCCTTTTTCTCCCTCATCCTGTCC